AGTGGTTTTTTTTTAAATCCTCACCTGAGGATATTTTTCTATTTATCTTCAGATAGAGTGGGAGGGAGGGAGAGAAACATCCAAGTGACAAGGACAAATCAATTGGTTGCCTCCCCCACAACCCCGACCAGGGCCGGTGTCAAGCCGTAATTAAGGTACATGCCCTTGTCCGGAATCAAACCCGCAACTCATTGGTCCATGGACCTATGCTCTAACCATTCCACTGAGCCAAACCAACCAGGGCAGTTAGTAGTTTATCAAATTATAAAAACTTGAAAATCCTAAGATGCTTTATATGTTTTGTTTTTTTATTTTTTTAAATTTATATATTTTTATTTTTTGGTTACTCCTCACCCAAGGATATTTTTTATCTTTTTTTTTTTTTTAGATAGAGTGGAAGGCAGAGAGGGAGAGAGAGAGAAACATCAGTGTGAGAGAGATACATTGATTGGTTGCCTCCTGCACGACCCCAACCAGGGCCGGGAATGAACCTGCAACGCAGGTACATGCCCTTGACCAGGAATCGAACCGTCAAACCTTCAGTCCGCAGGCTGATGCTCTAACTGCTGAACCAAACAGGCCAGGTCGGTCGGTCTTTCTTTCTTTCTTTCTTTCTTTCTTTCTTTCTTTCTTTCTTTCTTTCTTTCTTTCTTTCCTTTTTTTTAAAAAAAAAACCGAGGTGATATTGGTTATTAGGATCATATACATTTCGGGTGTACATTTCTATGATATATGATCTGTATATTGCATTAGGTGCCCACCACCCAAAGTCAAATAATCTACTGTCACTGTACATTTGACCTCCTTTACCCTTTCCTCCCTTTTTACTCCTCCACCCCACCCACTTTTCTTTGGTAACCACCAACGCTGTTTTCTGTGTCTATGAGTTTCAGTTTTATATTGCACATAATGAGTGAAATAATTTGATTTCTAAAGTACAGATAATAAACTTTGTTGAAAATTATTATTCAAATAGTTTTTGTTGGAAGGTATACTTTAAAGAAAATTTAAAAGTTTTATCTGATTAGTAATTTAAAATAAAACCCACGGATTTATTTGGGGGCTAAGTCACTGTTAAATATTACCCAAATTGTTTCAAATACTTGGCAATAAAAATGAGTATCTGCCAAAACTAAAAAAAAATATTTTTTCCTTTTTCATCACAATGTATATTTTATGAGTTAATACAACACAGTGATTAAGCCAGTGTATTTCTACTTAAAATCCTGAAACACTTTTAAAATTGTTCAGTAGATAATCACATTAGTACTTTTAAACTTAACTCAAAGTTTTATATTGGTGTCATATTAATGTGTGTTTTTTTCTATCTTATTTTATATTTCTAGGGAGCATTATCTGCAGTGAATGTCCTTGTGCTCTATGTTCAAAAAGATAGTACATTGGGCCGGGCTGGTGTGGCTCAGTGGTTGAGCATTGACCCATGCACTAAGAGGTCACTGGTTTGATTCCCAGTCAGGGCACCTGCCCAGGTTGTGGGCCAAATCTCCAGTGGGGGACATGCAGGAGGTGGCCAGTCGATGTTCTCTCTCGATGTTTCTATCTCTCTAAAATTAATAAAGAGCCCTGGCCGGTTTGGCTCAGCGGTTAGAGCGTCGGCCTGCAGTCCTGAGAGACCCGGGTTCGGTTCCCGCTAAGGGCGCGTACCTCGGTTGCAGTTTGTCCCCGGCCCTGGTCGGTTGTGCGGGTGGCAGCCACTCGATGTGTTCCTTTCGCATCGATGTTTCTCTCTCTCTCTCTGTTCCTCTCTCTCCCTCCCACTCTACCTGAACAAAAAATGGAAAAATGTCCTCGGGTGAGGATAAAAAAAACAAAAAAAAAACAACAAAAAAAAAAACAAATAAAATTAATAAAGAAAATAAAGATAGTACATTGAAAAAATGTGTTCTTTCCAGTAGTCTGCATAAACTTGCAAGAATGCAGAAAGTTACCAATTTTAGTAGAAAATTACAGTAGTAAGAAATGAATTAGTATTTCTAAAATGCTAGACACAGTTTGTTAGTTTTTTAAGTTTATAAAATAGTGTTAATAGATAATGTTTTTAGAAAGATAAAATCATTGTCATATGATATGAACACATCAAAGCTTTTATCTCATTAATTAATGAAGGAACCAGTAAGATATTACAGTTGATTTAAAAGAGAACTCAGAATACCACATTTAAAATCAAGTAAGAAATGCTGAAGGGAATTTACAAATGGATGCAAAACTGAACAATATCCACAGGCTGATAAATGCAGTTTGCATTTCTATGAACCACATTATTTGCATCATTATCTGTTTTACAGAAGTTATTTTTTGTCTATACAATCTGAAAAGTTGTGTGATTCAGTTAAAGCAATGCTAAAAAAGGAAATTATAACACTAGACACTTTTATTAGGACAAAGTTTCAAATGAGTAACCTAAACTTTCACTTGAAGACTAAAAACTAGAAAGGTAAGAGCAAATTAAATCCAAGGTAAGCAAAAAAGAAAAAAGAGGTAATAAGAAAACCAATGAAACCGAAAGTTAGTTCTTGAGAAGATAAATAAAATAGATACTGATCTGAAAAAAGAAGACACATTACCAATATCAGGAATAAAAGAGTAAACCGCTACAGATCCTTCAGATAGTATAGGGATAGTAAGAGAATACTGTAAACAAAATAAACAGATTGGGGAGATGTTGGTCAAAGGGTACAAACTTGTAGTAAGAAGATGAATAAGTTCTGGAGATTTGATGCACAGCATTGTGATTGTGGTTACCAATACTGTGTTACATATTTCAAAGTTGCTAAAAGACTAGATGTTAAATGTTCTTACCAGAGAATGAAATAATTGTGTGACATGATGGAGCTGTTAGCTAATGCTATGTTGATAATCATACTGTGTTATGTAAATATATCAAATCAACAGATTGTATACCTTAAACTTACACAGGATTATGTGTCAGTTATATCTCAGTAAAAAATTCCCTAAATAATTTTTTAAAAACAATTTTCTTCACAGCTCTCTGATTCTTCAACTCTAACCTTAGTATTCCTAAAATTCCTATATTAAATGACTACTTTCTCATCTTCTGAGTCCTTAAGTCCAAAATTAAAAAAAAAAAAAAAAACTAAATAAATGAAGAGAGAAACTGTGTTCATGGATAGAAACTGAATATTTTTAAGATGTCCGTTCTTCCGAGATTGATCTAAAGATTCATGTAATCTCAAAATTCATCAGACATTTTTAGGAGGTAGAAATTGACCAGCTGATCTTAAAATTAATATGAAAATACAAAATTGGAGGATTCACTAGTTTCACTAATACTGATTTCAAGATTTATTATGCTGTTATAATCATTTTAGTCTGATAATGGCATACATGGACATAGATCAGTGGAATAGAGTGAAAGGTCCAGAAGTAGATTCATACATATATGGTCAATTAATTTTTTGACTAAGGTGCCAAAGCAGTTCAGTAGTAGAAAGGGTAATCTTTTCATCAAATGGTGGTATAACTGAGTGGCCATGTGCCAAAAAGTGAACCTTGACCCTTACCTCACACCATGTATAAAAATTAACTGGAAGTGGATCATAGACCTAAATGTAAGAGCTAAAAGTATAAAAAAAGAAAAAAATCTAGAAGAAAACAAAATTTTAATGTCTCCCGTATTGTGAAGCATTTTATAAATAGGACAGAAAAAATAAATTAAAAGGGGAAAAATAAATTATAATTAAAAAATTTTTGCTCTTCAAAAGACAGTTCCAAAAATGAAAAGGCAAACTACAGTCTAGGAGAAAATATATGCAGAACATATAGCCAACAAGATTTGAATCTAGAATAAATGTAGAATTGTTACAATTCATTAATAAAAAGACAACCCAGTTTTTAAAAATAAGCAAAAGATCTGAACCAGCACTTCACTAAAGAAGATATACAGATGGCAAGTAAGCACATGAAAAATATTTAACACTACTAATCATGAAGGAAATGCAGGTGAAAACCTCAGTGATATACTATTGCACACTCACTGAAATAGCTAAAATTAAAAAGATTAATATACCAAGTGTTGGCAAAGAGGTAGAGGAACTGAAATTCATATACAGCTGGTGGGAATCTAAAGTGTTATAAACTTTTTAAAACAATTTGGTGGTTGCTTTAGAAAGTATACATGCATCTGCCATACCACCTAACCATTTTACTGCTAGGTTTTTACCCAGTATAAGCATGTTTTATACGTCCACTCAAAGAATTATATACAAGTCTTCATAGCAGCTTTTTTATTTTTGATTTTTTTAGAGAGAGGAAGGAAGCGGGAGAGAGATAGAAACATTGATGAGAGAGAACATTGATTGGCCACCTTCTACATGCCCCACACTGGGGATTTGGTCCACAACTTGGGCATGTGCCCTGACCAGAAACTGAACCGGTGATCTCTTGGTGCATGGGTCAACGCTCAACCAATGAGCCACACCGGCGGAGCTTCATAGCAGCTTCATTTGTAACAGCCCAAGACTGGAAACAGTTCACATTTTAATTAACTGGTAAATGAATAAATTGTGTTATAACCATACAATGAATACCACTCAGTAATAAAGAGGAATGAGCTATTGTTATATACAACAAAGTAGATGAATCTCAAAATGATTATGCTGAGTGAAAAATACAGACAAAAAAGAAGACATAGTGTGTGATCCCATTTATATAAATCCTAGAAAATACAGACTATAGTGGCAGAAAGCAGATCATTAGTTGCTTAGGGTACAGGGGGAGGAAAGGATGTATTACAGTGGGGTATGAGGAAACACTGGGGAGGTTGATGGCTTCACAGGTCATCAAACTTTATATTAAATGTAGTTTCTTTTATGTCAGTTATGCTGTTAAAAGATAAGAGGAAATAACAGTATACTGTATAAATTTGATTATAGAAAGTATTGTTTTAATAGAAATCTCGGTTGTTAAGAGAAAATATTACTTAAGTAATACTTTCATTGTAAAAGGCCTTTTTTTTTTTTTTCTGGTGCATCGTTCCCGGAGGTAATGCAATACCAGGTTGATGCGTGGAGTGGACAGAGCAAGCTCCTATTCCATCTCCCTGTTCCATAAATACATTTAAATAATGTCCCTAGATAGAGGACCTATCAGATATTAAACTAATAAGAACAGATACTACAGTTGATCTTAGCCAAAAGGCCAATTTTTTATTATTTTGTAGCTATGTGTATGTATTATCCTGGCTTTTACTCAAGGGCTTTCTTGCTTATCATTTGCTCATTTAAATCACTTCACTAAACCATTTAAGATTAAGGCTATTGGAAGGAAGTTTAAATCTTTGTAATATGGACGTATTAATACTATCATTCAATGGTAATATATGAAATAATAAGAGAATATTTGGAGAAGAAAGAGAATTTTTATATATTTTCAGTGTTTTTGTGTGTGTGTGTGTGTCTGAAACATGGTGGGTGGCAGCTTACTAGTGGTTTAGGTTTGGTTGCTGTCCTGAGGAGCTTATAGTCCAAATGTGAGAAGGAAAATCAAAGAATAGTATACGCAAGAGATGTTTCTAAGGACTGTGGGTGGGTGGCCCTTATAATGAGGGGATAGTGCTGTAGAAAGTCATGTTAAGGAAGAAGATAGGAGAAAGTAAAAAAGAATGTATGACATGCAAAGAGTGAATGGAAATGAGCAGAGATAAATGAGGTGATTATTATTAGATGAGATGAATTGAGGTAAACATGGAAACAGGGAATAAGTAATTTTTGAATTAGTTGCATTAAGCACTAGGGAGCCAGTGAAGGGATTTGAGAAGGGAAGTGACCTAGTCAGAGTGACAGATAACACAGATTTTTATTACTATGTCATTTTAAATTGGTTATGCAAGAAATAGAAAGCAAAATCTACATAGATGAAAGGTTTTAGTAGCTAAAGGATTATCACAAACCTTAAACTAAAAGTGAGCATGATAAGAGAATGATTTAGGAAAGAAAGAAGTAATGAAAGCTGTTTAAATGGGATTAATGGAATGAAAAGTCAAAGGGAACAGTATGCTTTTTTGCCTGGAAAACTGAGGAAGTGACCAAATTAGAATGATAAAACAAACACCATGAATAGTAAAGTATCCCTTCCTTTTCTTTGAACCATCCCTCAAATGTCCAGGTTCTTAACCGTCTTTGCTAAAATAACATTTCAAAGTGCAAACAATCAGATACTGGTAGTGGAAAACTGAGAGTAACTTTATATATCCCCTAAGTAAGAGATTGTTTAAATAAAACATGGCATAAGCTTAAAATGGGGAAGAGGGTAGGTAGTTAAGGGAAAGGTATTTTCTTGAAGATGTGTAATTCCAAGCTAATTTTTCCTTAAGAATGATTGTCAGATAAATGGGCTGAATTTCAGGAGTCTGTGTCCCAGTCCCATTCCCCATGTCTCCCCCGTCTCCCATTTTTAATTCCTATTAAGAGTGTAAGCTCCATAGGTCCATGTGGGGGCGAGGGAGGTTGGATTTTTGTCTATATTTTGTTGAGTGGTCTGTCCCCAGATCCAGGAAGGGTCTTGACTCACAGGAGGCCCTCAGATTATAGTTAGATAAATTATCCTTGCCTACTTAATGTAGCTATAATATTGCAAACTTAGGTTGCCTGTTTTTTATGTCCTCATCTTACCATTAATATTTTATAGCACAGTCTCTTAAGTTAACAGTATGGCATATACTTGCTGTTCCCTTTATAGTATCTTATAACAGACTTTCTTTCCAACATTTCAGATTTTTAGGAATGTTTTTCAGCACTTGTTTCACTGAAGGAATGCTTAGATGGCATTTACTTAATCATAAAATATTTCTCAAGTGTAACAGCTGTGAAGGTCACAAAACAGTCACCAGAATCAGTCATAGAAGTTTCAATCAGAAACAGCAGTGTCTGATAGTGGCAGATATGGCAACTTTGTAAACATGACTGACAGCTTATTCAGTTAGCCAGCTTTGAAATGACAAAATTCAGCAAGAATTTTGTAAAGTTGAAACATTGATATTACTTTACATTAGGTGAGTAAGACTTTAACATCTTTGTTTTGTTTGTGTTGTTCCTAATTTGTGTAATGTGGATTTGCGTAAAATACTACCAATTTTTACTGTGCACTCAGTAAAAATAATATTATAAAGGTCTGCAAAAATGACATGGAAAAATGATCCAAAATATAGTAAATGAAAAAAAAAAAAACAAATTATAGTGGATACAAGTATATTCACCAAGATGTTAATTACTTCGGGAAGGTGAAATTATGGGTAATTTTTTCTTTGCATTTTTTCTTATTTGACAAAAGTTCTTCAATATAATTATCAGAAAATGTAATCATTAAAAAATGTTTTAATTATATAGTACAAGTATAACACAGTGATCTAGATGCAATCACTCTACCAGTGCCTCTTAGAGTGTGAGTTTGGGTGCTTTACTTAAATTAACCTTCTGGGTAAGACTTGGTGCCTCAGACTCTTGATCTGTCAAGTGGATTAAATGACATTGTAAATAGCGATGTCAGTGGTGAATTGAAAATAAATTACTGCATTCATTCAATAGATTATAATAATAGAACAGTAAGAAATTAAGAAACTAGACCTATATACATTGTGTATATATATCTGGAAACCATAATATTGACCAGAATTTAACAAGTTGTAGAAAGATAGCTGCATCTGAATTTTTTTTTTTAATCCTCACTTGAGGACATTTTTGCATTTATCTTCAAGTAAAGCAGGAGGGAGAGAGGAAGGAAGAGAGAGAGAAACATCAATGTGAGAGAGACACATCGAGTGGTTGCCACCCACATGACCTTAACCAGGGCCAGGGACAAACTGCAACTGAGGTACGTGCCCTTCGCGGGAACCGAACCTGGGAGTCTCTGGTCACAGGCCGACACTCTAACCGCTTTCCCAAACCGGCCAGGGCTGCAGCTGAAATTTTTTAGACAGGCAAAAAAAATAAACCCTTCTCTACATGAGTATAAATATAAAAGTACCATGAGAATAAAAATGCCAAGTACAGAGTGGTGGTTACCTTCAAGGTAAGAAGGGAAAGAATGTGATCAGGAACAAACAGGCACACAGGAGGCAATTCAGCTGTGTACTGATTTTATTTCTCAACAGAAAAACTGATATAAATCTGTCAAAATACTGTGTCAAGGCTAGATGAAGGTATATGGGTATTATATTCTCTATCCTTCCTTTTGTGCTTAAAATATTTTATAGTAGTGAAGTTTTTAAATGTTTACAATAAAACACACTTGAAGTACGCTGTTACTTCTCCCTCTACCTGATACAATTCCAGTATGATAAAAATGAATACCATGCTTTTGTCCCAAATTTCTAGCTTAGACTTCTGTTTCTCTTTCTCTTGTTTTTTTTTTTCCAAGGAAAGCCAGTTTGTTGTTGTTGTTGTTGTTGTTGATATTTTGTTCAGATAGAGAGAGAGAGAGAGAGAGAGAGAAACATCGACATGAAAGGGACACATCGAGTGGTTGCCACCCTCACAACCCAACCAGGACCGGGGACAAACTGCAACTGAGGTATGTGCCCTTAGCGGGAACCGAGCCCGGGTCTCTCTGGACCACAGGCCGACGCTCTAACCGCTGAGCCAAACCGGCCAGGGCTAATTTTTTTATTTATTGATTGATTTTAGGGAGAGGGAGAGAAAGAAACATTGATGAGAGAGAACATCCATTGGCCATCTCCTGTATGCTCCCCACTGGGGATCAGGCCCATTACCTGGGCATGTGCATGAGTCAGTGCTCAACCACTGAGCCACACCAGCTGGGCATGTGACTTGTTTATTAATCACATTCATAGAAAGTCAGTCTGGCTGAAAGATGAGGAAACTAGTGTGGTTTTGCTCTCTCACATTAATTTGAGTAAAATGGTACCTTCTTTGGGAATCAAGTATACTTAAAGGCAGGGTGTTGGGCTGTATGTTCCCTTTAGGTTTCTCCTAGTTTTTGCATTGTAGAACTGTAATTCAGAATCTTCTGTTGGATTGTTAGTTCTTTGAAACTAAGCAGTGTGCTCTAAACACGTTGACCCTCATAATACCCAACATAATGCTGTTGATTACTATGTGTTAAAATTTTTCAGATCTTTATTATTGAAAGTATTACAGATGTTCCCTCTTTTTCCCCCTATATGTGTTAAAAATTAATTGAGGGAATGGTCAATACAATTTTGAAACTCTTGATACATTTTCTATAGATTCCTCTATTTGTCCTGTGTTGGTTTATAACATGACTTTTTCTTTCCTGTGTTCAGTGATTTAGAATCTAGAAGAGAAGTAAAAAAAGAAGAAGGTGAAGCTTTTGCACGAGAACATGGACTTATTTTCATGGAAACTTCTGCTAAGACTGCTTCCAATGTAGAAGAGGTACATGAGAGGCCCCTATAAATGTTTGTCATCTTTTTACTTAATACATTTATTTTATGTACTTTAATATTTACTTATTACTGTATCTTCCATAAGCTTTTTAATCACTTAAATCTTTGAATATCATAAAGTAGGAAAATTTCTTTCCTTTGAAATTACTTGTAGTACTCATCTTAGATCAGAGTCTTGACTTATATTCTGAACCTTTTCTGAAAGCCAGAATCCTTTAACATCGTTAGGAAGAATGTACATTCTTCGTTGTGTACATTCTTCCTAAAATCTTTTTTTATGTTGTATGAGAGGAGGAAAGGGACAGTAATGAAGTTTGGAAATGTTTCAAAATGCTGAATATTTATAGCTTATTTATAGCCACTTCTGATTAAATAGGTAAAGTATTATATTAATTGCTGTATAATATTATACAATGCATGGGAATTCTGCCATCTTTAATAGATAAAATTTGTAGTATCGTAATTATTTCTGTTAGTCAAAGAGAGCTGTTTGGAAGTTCTCTGAACATATCATGTTCTTTATGCTGTATATGTTTGAATATAGTATTAATATAATGTACAAAGATGAGTAGACAGTTAATTCTCTATAAGGTAGATATATTGCTATACTCTATTTTACAAAAAGCAGAAATGAGGCTAAAAAGTAGTGTGCCCAGAATAATGCTGTAGTTCCACCTCTGGATAAGACTAGTAAGAGCAGAGAACCTAGAAATGGACCCAAGGCAATATGCTCAATTAATATTTGACAAAGGTGGCAAGAGTTTACAGTGGAGTAAAGACAGCC